CTTGAGATTGGGGCCTCCTTCCCCCACCCAGTCTTGTTAAGCCTAACCCACCTCATTTGACTGCTTCCCACTGTAGGACATCTTCTTGATGGCCACCACCTCATTATTCCGGACATCCCGGGCCTAGAGGACCAGACCAGAAGGTGGGTGAAGTCACCAGTGAGGAGTGGGCAGTGGGAAGGCTTGCTGGCACAGTAGGAGAGAGCAGGAAAGGCTGGTGTAGTGGAGTAGTGTAGAGGACTGTTTCGAAGTCCACAGGAAGAAGAATGCAGTCCCCATCCCTACCCCACCCTCCCAAGCTCCAACTCACAAAGTACACAGCTCCAAAGCTGCCATGGCCAATTTCCCGAAGGTCGGAGAAGAGCTTTTCAGGATCATCCTTGAAAAAGAGCTCAGCCACATCAGGGTCCTTCAGGCTTCCGGCCCGGCCCCCAGCTGGCATGGTGGCCCCTGAGGGCCCTGAGACTGGGACCTGACCTGGAGAATGGAAATGAGAGCCTTAGTGCAAGGATGGGGCTCTCAGAGAGAGAAAGGGGCCCCTCAAATTTATCTTCCCCTTCCCTAGTTCCCTGATGAGGGGGGAGGCACTGCTGGGGAAGGGCGGGGGTGGGGCGATTAGGAACAACCTCAAAGCTCTAAAAAAATGAAGCTGCCTGGGCAACCAGTGCACGGGGCCAGGCCAGAGTCCCTGGAGTCCCTAAAACTGCTAAGAAGACTGGAAACTAAGCATCCTCACCAACCCCCTCAGCCCTCAACAAGTTCCATTTTCCTACTCCCCCCAGCAAGAATAAAAGATTCTGTCTCCCAGCCAGAATTCTAAATCCCCAAGTGTCCTGTCTCACAAGTCCCATACTCCAAATATTTCCAGGCATCTTCCGATTCCCCTTGGTGTTGAGACCCCCTCCTCCCTTAACCTCTCACACCCTGGAAGAGAGCAGGAAATGGCCAGGCCGGAGGTAGTGGAAATCCGGCCATTGTTAGAAGTGGGTACTGGCCCAGAAGGGCCAGAAGACTCATTCTCAAAAGAGGGCTAAGGACACTGGCAGAGAGGAGATCTAGAATGGGAAGACAGGGCTAGAAATGGCATCTGGTTTTAGGGGCCTCTCTGTGACCTGAGCTGCCTTATTTGTCAATTCCAATTTCATAGGCATCACACACAGGAATAGGCCATTTATAGCATACAAATAACATTTATTAAGCATGTGTAGCAATGCCTTAGATGCATTATCTCTCATCAATCCTCACCACAACCTTATGAAGTTGTTACTATAACCCCTATTTGGCAGATGAGGAAACAGGCTCAGAAAGGGTAAGTGACTTTCCCAAAACTGGTCCTCTAACACTGTGCTTTTAAAACAGTCCTATGAACTAAGCAGGGCAGGAACATAATCACCATTTCACAGACAAGATCACTGAGGCACAGAAAGGAAAGAGGACTTCTCCAAGGTCAGAGAAGAGGACCTTCTCCTCTCCAGTCAGGCACGTGTCTCTCAGGGGTCTCTCAGCAACTGACTACAAGCTCAGCTCCCTCCTGCGGGAAGCTTCCCCTGACCACTCTAGTGCTTAGGGAAAGCTTCTACAGCACCCAGCCAAACACCCAGAGAAAGCTCCTGCATCAAAGCCAAGAACCCTAAGGGGATTCCAGGCAACTCCTGACTAAGCACTTGTTGGATTTCAGGCACAAAGAAGCCTTCAGCAGAGCTGGACTCCCAGGGCAGAGTTCTAGCCCTCTAAGAGAGCCTAACTATTTAGCATGTAATTATATTTTGTCATGCATTGTTTCCTATTGTGTTGTTAATTTTGTCTCCTTTGCCCAACTGGAAGCTGGAGGGCAAGGAGCAAGCCCAGCTTTCTCCAGTGGGCCCCCAGGGTGCAGAGGGCTCAGAATAGCCTGGGAGATTGATTGACTGCCCTCAGCAGCTCCAAGGCTGCTCAAAGCAGGCCCCTTTCTCCATTCTCCTGTCAGCAACCCTGCCAAGCACCCCTCACCCCCACCACATATCCACAAAGGCAGGTGCTCAAAGCTTGCCAAAGGAGTCTTCCTGACCTCTTTAACAGCTTCCAACCAAGAGTGCCCACACAGAACTCTAGGTCACATCACATGAGGCCTCTTCCTCAAATAACATTGAACATTTGAGTGACTACCAAGGTCTGTGCTAAATCATAACCACCTTCTAAAATGGACAATGTTATCTCCATTCTGCAGATGAGGAAATCAAAGAGTGTCTGTCTCTACACTACCAGTAGTACTCTTCACCCTCAATGTACAGCAACAGGGTTTTGAGTAATTTTTCTTATACCTGGTCTTCTCTTCAGTAAAATGAATTACAGCATAGGTCTGTTGTGAAATTTTTAATGATATCCCATACTTAGGAACACTATGCAGACACTCAGCATATAGATTTTTCCTTTCCTGCCTCCAGGGTCACCACAACAAGGCTTTAATACTTTGGGGATCACCCTACCCCAGCAGCTTGACTTTAATACCACTGTGGCTATCATCCATCAAAAAAGAGCCCTCTCAGGAATCCAGGCCAAAGACTGGGATCATAGTAAAGATGAAGGTCACAGTGAAGAGAAAAATCCATGAGGCAGAAGTAGGAGCCAGAGCTCCTGAGTATAGCCCTTCTAAAAAGGAAGCTCTTCTTTCTCCCATTCTTAAATCTTACTCCAATTCAAATCCTGATTCTGCCAATGAGTGACCTTGGGCAACCTCTCTGGGCCTTAATATTTTCAACTGTAAAATGGGAAGATAGCAATAAAAGGATGAGGGGAGGGAGGGTCACATGAGAAAACAGATGTAAAGCACTTTGTAAATGACAGATCACTTGACAAACATATGAGATTATTTATACAATCACAGCAAGAGACTGGAAGGTACCTATATAACTGGGGGAAAATATTGCCAGGCACCCCCAAACACAAACGTGCGCGCGCACACACACACACACACACACACACACAATTCCTTGAAAGGACAAGAAACCCAACCATACCATGCCTAAAAAACATACAAGCAGACCCACCACAGAGGTCAGAGGCACAGAAATCAATACTCTAGAACAATCAGTTACAAGGGTTATGATCATGTGAGGGGCAAAGTGAACAGGGGAGATCAGAAGGGTGCAAACCCACCTGATTAGCTCAGGCACCTAGGGCGTGACGCTCGGTGACATCAGAAACCCTGATATCTGAGGTCCCCCTTCAAATAGACATAATGAAGGGAAGAGGAAGGGGAAGAGGGTGGCAGCTGCACGCAAGGCTAGCCAGAGGCTGACCACTGGCCCAGCTGGGCTTCCCCATCCTGAGGCAAGGGCCTACCCAGGCTCAGTTCTGAGAGGAGCACCCTTCTTCCTCAATGCTAGACACAGGGATCCACGTCCCTGCTCCCCGTGTCTCACCTGGTAGGGGTCACTATGGTGCCCCAGCGCTTCCGACTCCTCCTGAGGTCCTCCAGCGGCTCTGCCAAGCTGGGAGAGGGGCAAGGAGGCCTTTCCCCTTGCCACCTCTTCCTCGGCTTTTTCCCTTCCTGAGGGGCGGGCCCGGGAAGCCTCCCCTGGAGGGGAGGGGGTGACAACCTGATCTGACCTCGCGGTCCAGTCCTCCCCCTCGAGGGCGACAGTTGCTGAGTCCCGGATTTCTGATTGTGGGACCTGAACCCCAGATATTTCAACGGGGGAAGGCTGAATCTGGTATTTGAACGCGTGGGGAATGAACCCCGGATACTGGTGCGCCCGGGGCCCTGAACCCCAGTTTTTGAAACCCTTTAAAACAAGAGCCCCAGGTTTAGAGAGACTGGAACCCGAGTCGAGAATATCTCAATCTTTGGGGCTGATAGCCGGATATTTGAAAAGCGAGGGGTCAAGCCCGGAGATTCAGGACTGAAGGGCCAGAGCTCCAGGTGTCCGGCAGATAGGGCGCCCACCCCTAGGACGTCCGGCCAACGGCCCCTCTCACGTCAGGGTCCAAGGGTGACAGCGCCCACTCCCTCCCCGGTCTCCTCCCCTTCTCCTTCTCTCTCCTGAGGGTGGCAGAAAGATTGTAGCTAAGGGCAGTCCCGGCGCCCTCTCCCCTTTTCCTCTTCAGTCTTAGCTTCTTGCCGCACCACAACCCGAGTCTCGTCCGGGTCTCCCTCTCCCTCTTCCTCCCAATTCCAAGATGGAGACCGGGCGGGAGCGCGCAGGCGCTGTAGGAACGCCCGGTCAAAGGGGGCGGGGCCCCAAAAAGAACAGCCCCGCCCCTCTCTCCTTACTGCTGCGGCCGGGAAGATAGGCAGCCATGGGGCCGGAGTGCGCAAGCGCCCCGCCACGCGGACCCTGGGTGGGAGGCGGAGAAAAGGGCTAGGCTTGGAGGGGGAGGAGCCCAGCGCGCTTTCGGACAACTGGCGTTGGAGGGGGCTGCGGAGCATGCGTTCGCCCCGCTTTAGCAGCGAGCCCGAGCTTGTTGCTAGGGGAAGCTTTGAGGGGGCGCGGGTGGAAGGTAAAAAGAAGGCGTGATCTGCGCTTGCGTGCAGGATAGATGCTAGGAGGGGCGAGGGAAGGCTGATGTGATGCTTGCTGGGCGCGGAAAAGGCGGGAAAATGGTTACTCAGGTTAGTAACCAGGCAGCCTGGCCATGCATCTCCCAAGCCGAGGAAACTTTGCTGGGTAGTCTGTCAAATCTTCAGAGCAAACTGAGGCCTTTTAGTTTCATGACCTGTCCAAGGTCATATTGCATTATGTAAAAGCATTCTCATGACCAAACCCACCTAACTCTCAACTGGCTGAAGTTATCAATTTTATTTCCTAGGCATACGATGGCAGAGCTGGGTCAAAACCATGCGTTTACCAAAGCCAACCTACAACCGTGTGAATAACTACACCCATGCCCTGTGACAACCCGTATCTCACATCCAAGAGTCAACAAGGGAAAGTACCCCCAACATCCCGAACCAGTCTACTCTAAGATTCCCACTTCAGTCTAATTCCCAATAAACACATTGGGCAGCACTGGGCAAAAAATCCTTTTATTTCCCACCACATTCTAGCTCTCCACTTTCTGTAACATCTCTTCCAACTCAGAACCAAGGCCGGAGAAGTTGATTCACACCTGGAGAGAAATAAAATAAAAAATCAAGGCAGGTGAGAAAGTCCTTAGGGAAGCTCTAGAATGGCTGCAGAAATTGATGCAACAGCTGAGGAAATGACAACTAGACACAGATACAGGCACTCATCCCAACTGGGATGGCCTCAGGATCCCAGGGTCTGCCTGGGGCCAGAAAGTATTCATGTTCCAGTCTGTTCAGATCTAAGAAAGGCCTGGTCTCTCTCCTGTACTCTGCCATTCTCTTTCACTCAGCACCAGTGGCCCCCATGGCCTGCAGTGTCAAGTCACAGCATCTTAGTGCCTCATTTCCTGTCTCAAATAAGTAGTTGCAGCAGTTAGGCCTAGCCCTAAGCAAAATAAGCAAATTTTATCTTGAACATCCAGTTCCACTGGCCTTTCCCTGGGCCTGAGCTTTTTCTAGTACTTCCACAGCTATATCCTAGGGCATAGCAGCTAGCTGAGGCTGAGAACAATTTGAGAGCTGCAAGCACAGTATATGACTCTCGTATTATATGAGACCCACCTGACAGGGTAAGAATATTCTACAGGATATTTCTTTCTCCTTAATGAGCTGACACACAAACTAGTTAGCCAATGTTTCCCACCCACTGCTACCTTCATGAGGCTCTGTCCCTCCAAAGATTCTGTTAGTAGAATCAATTTTTTCTACAGTCAGTGATGGCTAATGGAAAAGAGAAAGTGCATGTAAAGTGCTTGGGCACATAGTATGTGCCTAGTAACTGGCATCATCAATTCTTTTGAGTTGTTCAAGATGAATTTCAAAAAATTTGCATCATAAAACTGAATACTGGAATTTCATGAAAAAGCAAGACAGACATGATTCTTATCCCAGGATACATCATCAAATTTGAACCCTCTTAATTCACCAGTTACCAAAAAGCTTGGATGTAAACTAGAGCTATGGGTAAATCTTAAGATCAGAATGTTAACTGAAAGAAGTTAGTCACAAAAGAATATGTATGATTCCATCTATATAAAGTTCAAAAATACGTAAAGCCAAACCATATTGTTTAGGAATGACTCTATCTCAGTTACAATTCCCACCTCTACCCCATCCTCTACTCTCACAGGACTGGGGCAGAAAACCTTACCTGAGAACAAGACAGGAGCTAGGCCAGTGCCCTCAGAGCCGGGTTCTAGACCAGGTGGACTCCCGGCGTGGATGAAAGCACACGGCAGTAAAAAAGCAGAGAAGGCCACAGAGGAGAAGCAGGAAGGAGCCCAAAACCAGCAGCCTGGAGCCACACAGAGCCAGCTCCTCCTGGGGGGGGGGGGGCACAGGGAGGGAAGAAGAAATAAATGAGACAGGAGGAAGATAGAGAATCTTCCCTTAGAAGACGTTTTACCCCCAGCCCAAGGCTATGGAGAGAAGCCTCCATGGGAGGAAGGGCTCTCCACATCCAGGGAGCAACTAAAGGGGAAATGCTATTTCTATACAAGCTAGCTGTCTCCATGGTCTACAAACTGCTTTCTTGCCTAACCCTTGAACCCCGTAACAATGACTGTGAGAGTTCACTATTATCCACATTTTAAAGATGTGTAAGCAGGTCTGGAAACCAAGATCTCTGATTCCAAGCTCCTGGGTGATGCTCCTCACCAGGGTCTTTGCAAATGTGAGGGAAGAGTATGCAGCAGCCTCCTAACTGGTCTCTCTTCTCCACTCGGTCAGTTTCTTCCATCAGCATCAGTGGCCCCCATGGCCTGCAGTGCCAAGTCACAGCATCTTAAGCCCAGCATAGTGATGCCTCATGATCCGGCCCCTGCATCTTTCCTACCTCTTACCCTAAGTCATTCCTAAGCCCCTCATTACAAAGTGTCCCCAAAGACTAAACACTTTTCATTCTCTAGGCCTGCGCTCATGCTGGTCCCTTATGCCTGGAATGCATTTCCTCTTTCCTGAACCCCCTCTAGTGCATTCTCTGCCCAAATCTTCCTCATTCTCCAGTGATCATCCTGACAGCGCAGAACAAGGCTGGGACTCAGAATCAGAAAGCCTAGGTTGAAATCCTAGGTCTGCTGCTTAAGAAGGTGTGGTGTGTGGCCATGGGTGATTTACTCCCTCTCTCTGAACCTGTTTCCTTATCTGTAAAATGGGATAATAACAGCTACCTTGAAAGGCTATTTTAAGATCAAATGATAATGTATCTGAAAGCACTCTGTACATTATAAACTACTGTACATGATTACCTTTTTAAAATGCCATCATGTCCGTGAAACGCTCTCCATAAATGTTCAAGTTAGAGTTAATTGCTCCTTACTCTGTGTTTGAACAACACTTTGCTCATATCTCTATGCTACCAATTAACTTATTATGCCTCCTAGTCCAGCTTCTGAATTCCTTTGAGGTAGAGGTCATGTTTAATTGTACTTAAAGACAACAGTTAATAGTAATAGCTGTCATTTATCAAGTCTCTATTGTGTACCAGGCATTGTACTGGGTACTTTATATTCATTCTCATTTACTTGTTGGAGTTAGGAGATAGTCATATTTTCTGTTTTACAGATGAAGAAGTGAGGCTCAGTGAGATTCAGGGCCTGTTCAAGATCTCACAGGCTCCAAGTCAGGATTACAAAGCTTATGTTTTATCTATTAGGTAAAATTGTCTTCAAGACACAGCATGCAGCATGGAAGTCTATGAATGCCTGATAACCTGAAACTCTTACCAACGTGAGCAGCTTGGTGAGCACAAGGCCTTCCTGGCTCCAGACCCCAACACAATCCTCACCCACCCTAGGGCTCAGGGTGGCATTTCCTACTCCCTCCTCCGAGCAGGATATGGGTGGCTGGCTGGAGGGCAGAAGTCCTGGAGCGGCACTAAAATACAGGCAGATACCTGGGGTCCTTTCTGTGGTGACCCTGGCTGTAACGAGGACCCACTCTCCTGCAGAAGGTCCTATGAGAGGCACAGGAGAAGAGATGGAAGAAAATGAAGGGTCGGGTGGGAACCATCAATTTTCAGACATCTATTCATTTCTAAGACTTCTTACAATACCAGGTGTTTTGGCACTGATTCTATTCAATGAAGTAATCTATATACCATCACTTACATCATCATTGAAAAAATGAAAATAACTGTACCAATATAAACAAAAATTAATTTAAATTAGCTTACAACCAGCAAAACGAACACACCAATAATTGCAAGGTTACAATGAAACTGGGATAGATACACATTGTTGATGTTAGTTTGTATAAATAATTAGTGTTCTTTTTAAAGAGAACAATTTTCCGCTAGGTACGAAAATACATGAAAAGGTTCACATCCCATTTCAAATTAGTGGAACAATAGTGATCTATTCAGTCAATGGCCTTAGGACAATTTCCATTTGGGAAAAAAGTTAGACTCATCTCACACTATAAGATAAAGATCAGATGTATTAAAGACCTATACAAACAAACTAAAACAAAGAAAACAAAAACCTAGGCAAATATTAAAAGAAAATACAGGATATTTTCTAATTTTATTTTTATTTTTTTAAAAGATTTCTTTTTAGAGAAAGACAAGAAGGGAAGATTAAACATCAATGTGTGGTTGTCTCTCACATGCCCCCTGCTGGGGACCTGGCCCACAAGCCAAGCACATGTCCTGACCGGGAATGGAACCAGCGACCCTTTGGTTCGCAGGCCAGCACTCCATCCACTAAGCCACACCAGCCAGGGCGGTGTTTTCTTATTTTGAACTTGGGAAGCCCTTCCTAAAAAAAGACACATCTAAAAGCCTGAGTAAAGGACAAGAGAAATAAACTTAACCTTGTAACAAATTAAAGACTTCCACACTATGAAAGGAAAGTTAAAAATAAGTAACATTTTTTTGGACTTCTGGTCAAAATGGAGGTGTAGGTAAACATGGCTTGCTTCCTTGCACAACCACAGTAAAAATTACAACTAAACTAAAAAACAAATATCACCCAGGAGTGTCAGAAAATTGGGCTGTATGGAAATCTGACAACTGAGGAATTAAAGCCACATTCAACCAGATGGGTAGGAGTGCAGATGCAGTGATGCAGAAAGGGCCATCCCACACCCACATGTGGTGAATAAAAATCAGAAGGGATACTTTGGGAGCAAGGGATCCCAGTCTCACACCAGACTCCCCAGCCCAGGGTTCCAGTGTCGGAAGATAAGTCCACATAACTGCTGACTGTAAAAACCAGTGAGGGTTGGGGCAGTGGAAGAAACTGCAGGATTCTCAAGTATCTCCTTTTAAAGGGCTGAAACCGACTTAGGGCTTACACGGACTTACTCCCTTTGGGATCCAGCACCAGGGCAGCAGCTGGAAGGGCATCACTGGTATACAGGGAGGAACTGAAGTGTCTGGCCTCAGGGTGAGCGCCAGGGGACAGCTTCCACCCAGATAAAACTCCAGAGGCCAGGCAGCAAACACTGTCCCTTTTCTGAGCCCTCTCCCCTACAGAGCCACAGAGCAGTAACACCGTATCTGAGACTCCATCAACCTGGTTCACATGGGTTGCCCTACCCTGGCGATTACCTAAGGCCCCACTCAATCCAAATTATGGGTGCGCTTTTCTACAATAGGCCATGCTACTAAGACAGTGAGTCAAAGCAGCTCTACCTAATACATGGAAACAAACATAGGGAGGCTGCCAAAATGAGGAGTCAAAGAAACATAGCCCAAATGACAGAACAGAACAAAACTCAAGAAAAAGAACTAAACAGCTCTGGCTGGTGTGGCTCAGTGGACTGAGTGCCAGCCTGCGAACTGAAAGGACACCGGTTCGATTCTCGCGCAGGGCACATGTCTGGGTCTCAGGCCAGGTCCCCAGTTGGGGGCGTGTGAGAGGCAACCAATTGATGTATCTCTCACACATTGATATTTCTCTTCCTCTCTTTCTCTTTCCTTTTCCCTCTCTCTAAAACAAAAAGTAAATCAACAAAATCTAAAAAAATTAAAAAAAGAACTAAACAAAATGGAAATAAAGCCAAAGAACTTAAATGCACAACACATGGACATGAACTAAGGGGTGAAGGGATTGCTGGAGGGAATGGGGGTATCAGGCAGAGGGGGGCAATGAGGGAAAAAATTTGGACAACTGTGATAGCATAATCAATAAAATATATTTTTTAAAAAACAAGTAACAGATTGGTTGAAAATACCTATAATAGATTTAACTGGCAAAGCGTTTACTATCCATAATGTATGAAGACCTAAGAATTAAGAAGATAAAGACAAAGAAAAATAAGCAAAGACTATGAACAGGAAATTCAGAGAAAATATGAAAATGGCCAATAAACTTAAGATGTTCAACCTCACTAGCAATCAGGAGAAAGTAAATTAAAACTTTGAGGTATGCCTTTGCCCATTAAATGGGTAAAAATTAAAAAGCGTGATAGCAACAAGAGTTGTTGAAGATGTGGGAAAATAGGCACTCTCAATTGGTGACGTCTATTGGAAGACAATGTGGCTGTTATCAGTCGTTATCTTGGTGCAGAGAGGGCCTAAGAAGATGCCCACCAAACTGTCAATTCTGCAAGGGAGGTAGGAGGACTTTTACACCTGTTTTGTATACTTCTGTGTGGTCTGAATCCACAACATAATGAATTTGTCTTTTTAAAAAAAGAATATTCAAGGTAAAAAAAAGGGGGGGCATATCCTTTTGACTCAGTAATACCATTTGCAGAAACTAATCTTAAGGGAAAAATTCAAAAGAAAAATGCAAAGTATACTAAGATATTTATTGTGATTTCATTAAAAAAAAAAGTAGGAAACAATAGAGATGTTTAACAACAGGGAAAGCATTAACAGACGATGGCCTAACCACTTAATGAATCACTTTATATCCATTAAAATAATGCTTTTGTTTTTTGCACTATACAAAGAACACAGTAAGTGAAAAATGAGAAATACAACCAATATATATACATCATAATTACAAGTGAGAAACTTACATGTAAAATTCTATGAGAACTCCCCTTTTTACTATGTACCCAGATTGACTCAGTCACCAAGTCCTGTCAATCTCACACTTCTAATGTCTTTTTCGAATCAGTCACCTTCTTTCATGGTACTGTCTCAGCTCAGTTTTCGTCATCTTTTTATTGCAACCACCTCCCAACTGGTCTTCCTGCATCTGGACACATTCCTTCCAGGCCAACAAGTGGTATCTTTTTTAAGAGAACAATATATAAACAAAATCTTACTATTTTCCTGATTAAAATCTTTGCATTTGCCCAATGTATTAGATAAAGTCCAACTACCTTGGCTTGGCACATGAGACCCTCCATGGGATTCTGAGTCCATTACCTGTCGGGCGCTCAGCAATCCTTCCACCTGTATGCCCTGGAAGTTCCTAAACATGCTACCATGGTCCCCCAATCTGCATGCCTTTGCATATGCCCTTCCCTCTGTCTAGAAGGGAACCCTCAAAAGCCTACCTCAAGCTTCAGCTCAGGCACTGTATCATTGGAAAAGCCTGTCTTAGACAGACTTCTGAGTACTCCCACTGTACCTCGTGTTCTATTTCACACATTGGAAGGTATTTATTTCTGTTCCCATCTGTATCCTTGCTAGACCATCGCAACTTGAAATGAGGGTCCTTGTCTTACAGATCTCTATATTCCCTACGCTTGGTACATAGTAGGTACTCATTTCTAATTTTGTCCAAAATAATTTTTGATGTTATTACTTTGTTTCTAACCATTATTTAAAAAACTGGACTTCTTTGCAGAGGCAAAAATTGACAAGCTGATCCTAAAATTCATATGGGAATTCAAAGGATCCAGAATAGCCAAAACAATCTTTAAAAAGTACAAAGTTCAAGGACTCATATTTTCCGATTTGAGAACTTACTACAAAGCTATAGTGATCAAAACAGTGTAGTACTAGCATAAGGAGAGACATGTAGATCAATGGAATGAAACTGAGTCCAGAAATAAACTCACACATTTACAGTCAACTGATTTTCAATAAGAGTGGCAAGAATATTCAATGGGGAAAGAACAGTCTTTTCAACAAAATATGATGGGGCAACTGAAGAGCCACCTACAAAAGAATGAAGTTGGATCCCATCATCACACCACGCAAAAAAAATTAACAAAATGGATCACAGACCTATGTGTAAGAAGTAAAATTATAAAATTCTTAGAAAAAAAATATAGAAGTTGTAGAGAACTTGAATTAGGCAAAGCTTTCTTACATAGGATACTAAAATCATAAGCAACAATAGAAAAATCGATAAGCTGGAATTCATCTAAATCAAAAACATTTGTGCTTCAAAGCATACCATCAACAAAGTGAAAAGAATCTAAAGAATGGGTAGTTCTGGCCAAGATGGAGGTGTAGGTAGAAATGCTTCGCTTCCTCACACAACCAAAAGAAGGGTAACAACCAATTTAAAAACAATAAACAACTAGAACTGTCAGAAAATCAAACTGTATGAAGTCCGATAACCAAAGAGTTAAAGAAACATTCACCCAGACTGGTAGGAGGGGCGGAGACAGGGAGCCAGGGCAGAGAGGATATGTGGCAAGGCCACTGACCTGGCGGGTGAGGTGGGGGCTGGCTGACCAGGAGCTCTCACATTCGTGCACAGATAAGCTGGGAGAACAACTAGGGAGCAACATAGACCACAAAACCCAGGGTTTCAGTGTGGGAAACTAAAGACTCAAAATCTCTGGCTATAATAGCCTGTGGGGCTTGCTGTGGTGGCAGAAACTCCCAGTCTCACAGGAGAGTCTGTTGGAGGAGCCCACGGGGTCCTTGAACATACACAAACCCATAAACCCAGGAATTGGCACCAGAAGGGCCCAATTTGCTTGTGGGTAGCGGGGGAAGGGACTGAAAGTGGGGTGAGAGCAGAGCAAACGGCGTTGTTCCCTCTCTGACCCCTCCCCCACACACACTGTCACAACGCAGTGAAGAGGGTGGCCCCACCCTGGCAAATACCTAAGGCCCTGCCCCTCCCAACATAATAGGTGTGCCCATACAAAGAAATACGGCCTAAATGAAAGAACAGATCAAAACTCCAGAAAAAGAACTAAGCAACAAGGAGACAGATGTCGGATGCAGGTTTGGAACACTGGTAATCAGGATACTCACAGAATTGAGTTCGGTTGCAAAATGAAGAGATGAAAGCTATACAAAATGAAATAAAGGAAAATATACAGGGAACCAACAGTGAAGGGAAGGAAACCAGGACTCAAATCAAAGATTTGGAACAAAAGGAAGAAATAAACACACAACTGGAACAGAATGAAGAAACAGGAATTGAAAAAATGAGGAGAGGCTGAGGAACCTCTGGGACAACTTTAAACGTCCCAACATCCGAGTCATAGGGGTGCCAGAAGGAGAAGAGGAAGAACAAGAAATAGAAAACTTGTTTGAACAAATAATGAAGGAAAATGCCCCCAATCTGGCAAAGGAAATAGACTTACAGGAAGCTCAGAGTCCCAAAGAAATTGGATCCAAGAAGAAACACACCAAGACACATCATAGTTAAGTTACCCAAGATTAAAGATAAGGAGAGACTCTTAAAAGCAGTAAGAGAAAAGGAGACAGTTACCTACAAAGTAGTGCCCATGAGACTATTAGCTGATTTCTCAAAAGAAACCTTACATGCAAGAAAGGGCTGGAAAGAAGTATTCAAAGTCATGATACACAAGGACCTACATTCAATATTCCTCTATCCAGCAAAGCTATTATTTAGACTGGATAGGCAGATAAAGTGCTTCCCAGATAAGGTCAAGTTAAAGGAGTTCATCATCACCAAGCCCTTATCGTATGAAATGTCAAAGGGACTTATCTAAGAAAAAGAAGACCAAAAACTATGAACAATAAAAGGACAACAAACTCACAACCATCAACAACCAAACCCAAAAAACAAAAACAAAAACAAAAACTAAGCAAACAACTAGAACAGGAACAGAATCACAGAAATGGAGATCACATGGGGGGTTATCAGTGGGAATGAGGCTGGGGAGAAGGGGGGAAAAAGGTACAGGGAATAAGAAGCATAAATGGTGGGTTCAGAATAGACAAGGAGAGGTTAAGAATAGTATAAGAAATGGAGAAGCCAAAGACCTTAAATATAAAGGCCACGGACATGAACTAAGGGCGAGGGCGGGGGGCAGGATGCAGGAGGGTGCAGGGGTCCAGGGTGGAGGTGGATAAAGGGGAGAAAAAAATTGGGACAATTGTAATAGAATAATCAATGAAATATACTTTAAAAAATAAATTAAATAAATAAAAATAAAAGGTAAAAACCCAGAGAATGGGACAGAATATTTACAAATGATGAACCAGATAAGAGACTTGTATCTAGAAAATATAAAGAACTACAACTGAAAAATTAAAAAACACATTACCCAATTTTAAAAATGGGCAGAGACTCTATATACACACTTTGCCAAAAACATGCAAATGGCCAATAAGCACATGAAAAAATTCTCAATATCATTAGTCACCAGGAAAATGCAAGTCTGAATCACAGTGACACCACTTCACAATGACTAGGAGGGCTATAATAAAAACAACAGATAATAGCAAGTGTTGGGCAAGGTGTGGTGAAATGGAATTCTCATACACTTCTGGTGGGAACATAAAATGGTACGGCCGCTTCGAAAACAGGCTGGCAGTTCCTCAAAAGACTAAACAGAGTTGCCCCTGGCTGGTGTGGCCCAGTGGACTGAGCACTGGCCTGCAAACCAGAAGGTCGCTGGTTTGATCCTTGTTCAAGGCACATGCCTGGGGGTTGGTCCAGGTCCCCCACTGGGGGCATGTGACCAGCGATCAATCCACATATCTCATGTGCATCGATGCTTCTCTCCCTTTCTTTCCCCTTCCCCTCTCTCTAAAAATAAATAAATATAAACGGAGTTACCATATGACCCAGCAATTCCACTCCTGGTTATATACCAAGGGAAATAAAAATATATGATTACATCCCGACCACTGGGACTTCCAGTTGCTAAGGCAACATCCACAAGGCGTTCAATTCCCAGTCAGGGCACATTCCTGGGTTGAGGGTTGTTTGGCCCCTGGTTGGGGCACATGTGAGAGGCAACCAATAGATGTTTCTCTCTCACATCAATGTTTCTCTCCTTCTCTTTCTCTCTCCCTTCCCATCTTAAAAAAATATGATCACGTAGAAACTTGTATCATTCATAATAGCCAAAAGATAAAAACAACCCAAATGTCAACTAAATGAGATGAGTGGTCAAATAAAACGTGGAATAGTCATACAGTGAATACAATTAAGCAAAAAGAAATGAAGTACTGCAAAGTGTTACAACATAGATGAATTTTTAAAACATCATGCTAAGTGAAAGAAGCCAGTAGCAAAAAACCCGTATTATTATGTGAAATGTCCAGAATAAGCAAATCTACAAAGGGAAGAAGGTTAGTTAGTGGTTGCCGAGAGCTAGGAGGTTAGGAGAAGAAAAAGGGCTTCAATACGTCAGATATATTCATTTATTCTTGCTCTGACCACACACGTACACCTAGACATACAAAGACCTACTCCTCACAAACACATACACATATGTGATTCACAGGAGAATCTTAGAATGGTAGTATTGAAAAGGACCTCAGAAGTCAGAGAATTCCACCATTCCCTCCTCCCTCTTCATATCCCAATTTTTTTAGGTAAGGAACCTGAGGCCAAATCTCCACAGGAATAAATGGAACTGACTCTCTCTCACTCATTTTCCCAGAAGACTTTAAGTGCTTTGGAAATGGACGATGTCTAATTTTTTCTGTAGCCTCCTTTGCACATAGAGCTGTGCTAAGCACATAGCAGGCACGAAAGACGTGTTTAACTGAACAGAACATGCTTGTGATATCCCTGAGGGAAAAGATGCCTTCATGAGGAGAAGGCCACACGAATGAAGAGGGATGGCAAAGAACATTAGGTAAATCTAGCCCATCTCATCACACCTCCAAAGAATCAAAGAACCCCAGAACTGGAAGGAGAGAGAGAAAACATCTATAGAGAACCTACACAGTGGGCATCGTTTTCACTGTTAAGTATCTAGTCTTTATTACAGCAGAAGTGACTAAGGCTGATAGATGTGCTTAAGGTCAGCAGGCTGCTGAGTGTTCTGATGTCCAACCCCACAGTCCTCCTTGATCTCACCTTTCAATCCCATCTGACTACCCAGAACCTTGGCTTGGAATATCTGGGTCTTGTTCCTGTCTGGACCATCTCCGAAGTTCAAGGTGGTCAGCAAGCCCACGATGTGGGACCCATGCCACTCCCCCGTGACTTTTCTAGTCACAGGGCAGAGGGTCAGCTGGCCAAAAGATCTCAAGAAGGAGACCCAGTCCTGTGTGCAAAAGAAAGAGGTAGAGAGGTGAGAGATTGTCAGCAAGAGCAGGCCTACATGGGACAGATGAGCAGGCGGGTACTCACCTGAGGGATGTCAGGGCTGCGCAGGCCAGTCTTGCGAGTGAGGAGGAAGCCACCAAGGCCCAGGCCAGAAAGGCCAAGAAGCAGAACCATCAAAGTGGCACAGACCAGAGGTGGGTGGTGCGCCAGACAGAGATGCAGGTTGTGCCCTGCCTGGCAGCTGCCCATGGGGAGAAGAGGAGTTTGGGCCTCCACGGAAAGCCTGCTGGAGGACAAGAAGGGAGAACTGGACAAGAGCCTGCCACTCAGAAGGCACTTACCCATTTTCCTCAAAGGGAAGCTCAAGCACCAAGACAAGGGACTTGCCCAAGGCCACAAAGACAGCAGCAGAGCCAGGACAGGAATCCAAGGCTCTTGACTCCAATTGTTCAACTCTCTGCACCACTCAATAAATTGTTTCATTTCATTTCTGAAGCAATCAAGGCAGAAGTAGAGCTGAGCACACTGTGCTGGAAAAACGAACATCTTAAAGGTAGAAATTCAGGAAACAGCTGTCCTGGGGCTAGGGTTTAGCTGCAGAACGGTCCCAGCCAATAGCCCAAAGCAAGTGTCTGACAAAAGAAATCCACTTTGGAGTTAAATTGCTCAATTTGAATCCTCCCCTGCCATTCATTGGCTGTATGAGAAAAATCAGTCAAACTTCGGAAGTTTAAGGACCTGTGAAATGGGAGTTCTAAAGCAGGTAATGAGGACTAAATGTGGCAGATAAAAGTTTGCATAATACTCGGCTATGCAGGAACTCAACAAGTGACCATTTCTTTTCTATTCTTCTGTGGCATATTTATCTCTCCAAAAGCAGGTGGGGCAACGCAAAAATACTTGTGGGGAAGACTGAGGTTCGTGGACATTAACACAAGAATGGTAGGGCCAAGATGCCTCCTACTTCCAAGTGAGGTACTCTTTCCCAGGCGAGAAGCAACAGCCTGATGAAAAAGAACATCTGGAAAGAGAATGGGAATAGAAGAACTCCGGGAAAATGCAGGTGTCACAAATGTGCAGCCCCTGCCCTGCCTCCCGTCCCGGCTCATTAGGAAAAGGGGAAAAGACAAGAAAGGAGAAGACAGAGGCTAAAGGTCAATGGCTGATGGTGCCCCTGGGCCTCCCCTTCCCCTAGCCGCCCTGCAGGAACTCTACACACGCATCCTTTCCCGATCTATCAGCTTGGGATCCGACCACCGCTCGCTCTCACCGCTCGGAGCCGGTCGAAGCCGGGCCCCGGCGACGTCAAGCGTGTAGCCACGAAGGGGCGGAGTCTGTGATCCCGACTTCCCCCACCCCGCCCCAAGGCGGAGATTCGCATGCGCAGTGCCGAGGCTTGCGGGCGCCTCGCCTCAAATCAGTGTGGGGATGTACCAAGAGGATATCCAATGAAGGGGCAAAGGGGAAGAAATAACTCCGCGGGAAGTCAGTGTAAGGAAAAGAGGCAAGGGAATTAACCTCAGAGGCGTTGGAACTGTAACGTCTCCCCCCGCAGAGACCGTGAGGGTACTTTAACGTGATTCTCGTTGCATGCATTTCCCTGTTGCTAGGCTCCCACCCGCGCCAATAGCACAGCCCAGCCGCGCCCAGGTTCCGGCAAAGGACTTGAGTCCGCCCTGGGGTGGGGCTCCAAATCCCAGGAGTTTGGTTTTCCGGCGGGTAGTGGGGAGGGTTCCGTTCTTCTCTGACGGCAAATAATTATGTTAGACGCCTTCACATCAGTTCTGGTCCTTGACTTTTAGTGACTTTTCCTTTTAAAATCCTTACAGGAGGATATGTTTATTGATTTTAGAGAAAAGGGGGAGAGGCAAAAAAAAAACCCAAACCCACAAACACTGATAGAAACATCCATCGGTTGCCTCCCGTGAACGCCCCCACGGGGATCGAATGCGCAAGTTTTTGGTGTATGGATCCATCCGGCCGGTGCTAGTAACTCCTTAATGAATACGATCCTAAAAGCTGGAGGGCTGCTAAGTAGATACCATCTTATTCCACTTTCGTCCACATTTTAGAGATGAGAACACGGGGGGGGGGGGGGGGGTCCATCTTGTGTGAAATAATAGGACAAATACAACCAGGAACCTGGATTCAAATTCTGCCTCTCTGTGCCCCTCCATAAGCTATAACCATGCTTTTCTGGGGCTTGAGTTCATTCCCCTGTTAAAGAGGATCATCATACATAACCTCATTGGTTGGCTGGGAATCTAAGACAAAGTATGGGAAAACAGGGGTCCAAATGTTCACTGAGCACGCAACCAGCACTGTACAGCTAATGTAAAAGCAGAATCTGGGTACTGCACTCCACTGAGGCCTCCTTAAGACTGAGATCACATGTCACTTCTGTATCACCTCCAATAGTTTATAGCACAAACTCACCTCTTTTATGGCCAGATGATACTTGGTAAGGGTACCAAAACCATTCAATGGGGAAAAAATAGTCTTACTCAACAAATAACCTTGGGAAAACTGGTTATCCACAAACAAAAGAAGGAAGTTAAACCCTTACCTTTACACCATATACAACAATTAGTTAAAAATGCATGGAAGAACTAAATGAAGGAACTGAAACTACAAAAATTTTAAAGATTTTACTTATTTTTAGAGAGGGGGAAGGGAGGGAGAAAGAGAGGGAGAGAAACATCAATGTGTGGTTCCCTCTTCTGCACGCCCCAAATGGTGACCTGCCCACAACCCAGCATGTGCCCTGACTGGGAATCAAACCAGCAACCCTTTGGTTTGCAGACCAACGCTCAGTCCAGTGAACCACACCAACCACAGTGAAGCTATAAAACTTTTAGAAGGAAACATAGGGGGAAGGCTTTATGACATTAGATTTATCAATGATTCCCTGGATGACACCAAAAGCACAGGCAGCAAAAGAAAAAAATAGATAAATTGGATTACATCAAAATTTAAAACTTCTGTGCATTAAAAGACACAACAGAATGAAAAGGCAACCCATGAAATGGGAGGAAATATTTGCAAATTATATATCGGCGAAGGAGTTCATATTTAGGAGATGTAAAGACCAGTCCTACAACTAAACAACACAAAAAACCAATCCAATTAAAAAATGCACAGGGGACTTGAATAGACATTTCTCCAAAGAAGATATACAAATGGCCAACAACACATGAACAAGTGCTCAGTATTACTAACATTAGGGAAATGCAAATCAAAACCACAATTAGGCTCTAGATTACACCTATTAGGATGGTTATTATTTATTTTTAAAGGAAAATAACAAGTGTTGGCAAAACTGTGGAGAGAGCGGAACCCTAGTGCACCAACGGTGGGAATGTAAAATGGAACAGCCACTATGGAAAACAGACTGGTATATTTTCAAAAAGTTAAAAATAGAATTACCATAATATCCAGCAATTCCACTTTTAGGATATACCTCCAAGAATTAAAAGTAGGGTTTCAAAAAGATACCTCTACACCCAAGATCATATCAGCATCATTCACAAGAACTAAAAGGTAGGAGCAACTCAAGTGTCCATTGACAGAGGTATGGATAAACAAAATATGGTATATACATACAGTGGAATATTATTTAGCCTTAAAAAGGAAAGACAGCCCTGGCTGGGTATCTCAGTTGATTGGAGTGTCTTCCCATATACCTAGAGGTTGTGGGTTTGATTCCTGGTCAGGACACATACCTAGGTAGCTGGTTTGATCCCTGACCGGGGAGTGCATGGGAGGCAACGATCAATGTTCTCTCTCACATTGATGTCTCCCTATCTGTCTGTCTCTCCCCCTTCCTCTCTCTCCTAAATTAATAAACATATCCTTGGGTGAGTATTAAAAAAAAAAAGGAATGACATTCTGGCACATGCTACATGGATGAACCTTTTACGAAGTGAAATAAGCCAGTCGCAAAAAGATAAATATTGTATGATTCCACTTATATGAGGTGCCCAGAGTAGGCAAATTCTTTAAGACAGTAGAATGATGGGAATGAGGAGTTATAGTTTAATGTGTTTAGAGTTTTGCAAAATGAAAAGAGCTCTGGAGATGGAAGGTGGTGACGGTTGCCAAACAAGATAAATGTACTTAACACTACTGAACTATACACTTAAAATGGTTAAGATGGTAAATTTTGTTATGTGTATTTTGCTACAACTAAAAGTAATTTTTAAGAAACCGGAGGGAGCCCTGGCCAGTGTGGCTCAGTGGTTTGAGCATCATCAGGTAACCGAAAGATTGCAGGTTCGATTCCTGGTGACGGCACATGCCTGGGTTGCAGATCTGGGTGCTGGCACATGCGACCCACCCCCCACCTCGTCCAGACACATATGATCCCTGGTCCTGGTCCCAGTGCAGATCCCTGGTTTGGGTGCATACAAGGCAACCAATCGATGCTTCTCTCACATCAATGTTTCTCTCGCTCCCTTCCTCTCTCTCTCTAAAAAAGCAAATGAAAATGTCCTCAAGTGAGGTTGGAAAGAGAGAGGGGGAGGAAGGAAGGGAGGGAGGGAGGAAGAAAGGAAGGGAGGGAGGAACTGGAGGGGGAGCGGAATTTATGGCAGTCTCCTGGAGTATAGTGAGTGTTTTTAAAAAGCCACTGATTGACTTAAATGAAATTCCAAGCATAGGAAGTATTTTCTTCTAAAAGGAAAAATAAAAATGTGACTGATAGAGAGTTTTAGAATCTAGGAATTGAAAGGCATTTAATAAATGAACAAGTTCAACAACTCTTCCCCCCTTTATTTTCCAAATGCTAAACTGATGTTTGGAGACGTTAAAAGACTCAGTGTCTCAATACCAAATCCAGTCCTTTCCCACTAAATCCTCCTTCTTCAGCCCTGCCAAGAGATCTCCCCTGAAAACCTTCAAAGGTCTCTGACCATTCACTCAGTCACACCCTGCCCACTCTGAGCCAACTAGGTAGGCTTTCCCTAGTCTTGGTCTAATCTCTCCAGCCAACACCTCAGTTTCTGGAGTAGAATGTTCTTACAAGCCCCAGGTCTTTTGTAGTTTGAGCATATAGTATTCACTCTCTATATATTTATTGATTGATTCATTAAAAACAGTCTCATACAGACCCATTTCCTGAGAACTCACCAATTTTCAGTCTCATTTTATGGCTGGAAACATGTCTGCCCATACTTGAATGTTCGTGAAATTTAAGTTAAAACACAAAAGAAAGTGTATTCAGTCAACAACTGTTTTTTAGTATCTGTTTTGGTCCAGGTACAAAGTTAATATCCATTCAGTAAAAATTTTGTCAAGCTTCTAAAAATGACAAGTCTAATTCGTAGGGTAAGAGAAGGCATGAAAGTGCTAGTACACAATAGGAAGTCAACAACTTTGAGTTTCCCCCATTATTCTTGTGCTGCAGAGTGATTGGGCATATTTGGGTGGAAGTTCCTTTAAATGACCATAATTAATATTTACTTATATAGTCAAACCAAGCAATTCTATGGGTCACAGAGACAAGCAGTTTAGAGAAAAGAACTGCTTTGAGGCCTGAACATCGGGGTAAATGGATGTGAACAAACGTCTTGTGCAGAAAAAAAAAAGAAAAGGTGGTGGGAGTGTGAGAGGACACAGGATCGGTTGTGCCTTGTAATGCTCTAGCATTATAACCGGCATCCTGGCTTTATCCACTCCTCAGGCTCTCAAGGTAGATATTATGGTGACAACCTGCTCCTAGGCAGCTTAAATAATTTAACTTAGGACACGCAGATACTAGGTAGCAAAGCTGGCTTATGACTTAAGCCTGACTACAGCCTACAGGTGAGAATCAGAAAGCCGAGGAAGGAATCACCCAGTCCCTTGAGAGGAATCGAGAGAGGGGTTCTTTAATCACTCCATGGTGATAAATTTCTCTCAGAGCTCTGGGCCAGACAGACCTTCTTCCACGGGTCTGGTTGTTGTTTTTTCTTTTTTCCTTCAAGATTATTGTCTTAAAACTTTTTAGGGTTAAAGACCCCTTTGAAAAATCTGATGAAATCTTTTCATTCAGTCAGTCAGTCAGATATTCTTTCAATAAACATCTCTGAGTTACTAGGCTCTGTTCTGTGGGCTGGAATACAATGACAGAAAAAGTATTTAGGATCCCCAGCCGTATGGAACTACAGTCTGCTTATGGACCCTCTCCCTGGAAAAATGCACTTTCACCTGAATGTTTTCCTGCAGTTTCAGTCAGTGGAACCTCAGTCCTCCTGAAACCCATCCATGGACAAGAGCTCCTACTTATTTAGTAACATTCCTTCTACCCTAGCTGGACCTCAGTTTTGTGTTTAGTTTTATATTAAAGCT